ACAATCCTACTAGGGAAGAAAAAAAAGCTTATTGTCTATTTCAGTAAATGTCTGATTACATTTAAAACTCTCTCTGTGTGTGCAATTTTGATCCCTCATGCACTGTGAAGAACAGAGTTTTGAAAGTAGCACTTCAATTTTTCATAGAAACAGTATCTAGCAGGGATATTACAGTGTGAAGATTAGGTCTCACCTCCTTGTAACGAATAAATTGAGACCCAAATTAAGTGAGTTGCCAGGGTCACCCACTCAGTTAGTGGCAAATGCAGGTTTAGAACTCAGCTCCCATATATATTTTTTCCCTAACGAACCTAGTTAACCCAGTAGTGAGAATGAGGACAAAAAATAATTTGAAACCATGTGAAACTATCAGTAATTACTTCGCCACAGGAGAAATTCCATTTAATTCTGTTCTGTCATTCCTGAATCTCAAGATGTTTTTTCTCCTTCGTTTTCTGTTGTGCAAACAGACATTTTGTACTCCTACTGGAAACCCAGACATCTTATCCAAATCACACAGCATTTTAATGTAAAATTAAAGTAGGCAAAAGAGTGCTGTTGGTAGCAAATCAATGGATCTTACACAGGACAGTTGTCAAACGAGAACAGCGAAAAGGAGGAAGGTTGTGGGAGCAGCTGCAACCAACAACAGTAGATACTAAATCTTGTGAAAGTCCCACATAATTTGACAGGGAATTATGGCCCAAATCAGTTTCACCTCAGCATGTATTCAGTTCTGCCTAACGGTGCAGTTGTGTGATGGGGCATTTCTAAGGTAATGATAAGACCCATGTCCCCCCTCCTTATTTGGGGCCTCACCCAAAGTCTGTAGGTGTGGATGTAAATTGGTTTCAGTGTAGTTAAATTGTGTCCCACTAGAAAGCATCTGCCTCACAAGTATAGTGTAGTTTAGTCAAATTCTCAGCTCTTCTGTATATCTGTCCACTTTTCTTTTCCTCTCTTTTTCTTGTCTTTCCCCTCCCAACTTTTTCCCTTTTCTCATCTCTCAGTACCTAACCTTCACGTTTCTGTTTAGTAAACCTACCAAAGCAGAATCAATAGCCCTGTGCTTAATCACACTTTTTGCTGCTCAAAATGTCAAGTTTGGGTTTGTTTGTGGAAAGGCTTCTGCATGTCTTTCATTTTTTAGCTCTGTGCAGGATGTTCCATACCCGTCAAATCCATTAAGAATGAAAGCTCTTGCCATAGCTGATTGTTCTAATCTCTGCTGTGGTATATATGATAAATATAAAATTTCAGGTGTCAGTTCAGAATATCAGGAGAAGAGATCTGTTGTGGTACTTTTAAATTTTCTCATCGTTTCTTCCTAGTGGAGTCAGTTAAGTATCAGTTTTCTGATCTGCTGAGATAGCTAGGGCACAGTCTAGCTATATGTAAGTAGATGTAAATGAGTTTAAGCATTCTCTTACTACAGAGAAAATGGTAAATAAAACACAAAATGGTATGAGGCAGCTGTGACTATTAGTAGAAATTAAACCCTTGATGCCTTGATGCTTTTTTGGTAAAATAGACAAAGCAAGAGACTGTAGCTCAGTGCATCGGCTTCAACTAAGAGCCTGTCAAGAAACTATTTCTTCTCTCCAGTAGTAAAATTTGTATGTTTTAGAAACTTGTTTGTGTAACAGGTTTGAAGAGGAGAGGAAAACAAAACGGCATATGGAGGCTCAAGTGCACATTATCCTGTGCAAAGTACATACTCCTGTGCAAAGTACGTGACTGATCTCTTGATCCTTGGACAAAACTGAGGAGAAAGTCTAACAAATGCATCGTTTTGCAGTAAATTAGATCAGATTTCCGCATCTCCGCACTCAGTCTGTGAGCTGACAGTTCAGTAAAATGTTCCCTTGTAAGGTTCACCCTCTTAGGAAAAGGGGCAATAATTCATCATTAGAATTTCAGAGTCCAGGTGTAGATGAAAACTGATGGAGCCTCCAGCGAGGCAGGGAAAGTGCACAGAAGAAGAAAATTTTATCTGAAGCCTAATTCCCTGGTTACAGCAGAGAATAATTAAGATAATATTGCTTCAAGAGTTCTTTAATGATTAAAAATCACATATGCAGAATCCATAAATTGGAGGGCAACAAATTGGAAGGATACAACGTCGGAGATCTGTTTTGTGCACGTTGTAGCAGGAAGCACACTGGTGGCACAACAGCAGCCCGGGCAGCCACAGGAGACCAGGCCCATTCCAAGGACTTTGTTTAGATGCAACAAATCATTTGTCTGTTATTAACCCAGAGCTTGTAATTATGCAGATTGCCATAGATTTTCCTGGGCCTGGAAGTGAGATTGAGGGTTGTTCACACTATAGCAGGCAGCTCAGGGCTGGCCATGCATTACTGAACTTGCCACATTTATCATGTTGACTGATGGCAGCAGAAGCAGGTCTCAGGTCCCAGTGGTTAATGTAGTGGGTAATTAACTGTCATTTGCCTAGTAATAGGCTGATGATCAATGGTTTGTGTGGAAACAAATTCTAATCAGGTAGCTGATAAATGCTCAGGGAGCGAGAGCAATTGAAATTGGGGGAAACTATGTCCAGAATTTCAAAATGGCATTGTGGGGTTTTTATTATTATTATTAATGGGAGAAAACTATGTTCTTCATATAAACAGCTTTATCCAAAATTAACAATAGCTAATATAAATCTCATATGTTTGTTTTGCATGTGGTGGGGAAGAAGTAACAGCCAGGAGAGCCTCCTTCCCTTTACGTAATCGAAAAATTTTAATGTGTCTCGTGCCCAGCTGAAGCAGCTTCTGTGGGGGTCTCTTATTTCAGGACTGTAGGAATCTGCACATAGTGGACTCTGGTGCAGTAAATCTCCATCCTCCGCAGTGCTGAGTGACAATCCCAAATTGTTTCACTGCTCTGTAACACGCAAACTGCAGTGCTAGCTGTAATGGATTTCCACTTTCTCACGCACACAGACACACCCCTGCAAAGAGGATGCTGCTGTGGAAGGTGACAGAGCCTGCACCTAACACCTTCTCCAGCAAGGGCCTTGAGCTGTGTCTCATTTTGCACCTAAACTGCCTGATTTTTGGTATGAAACAACCCCCATTGGGGTGCTGCCTGATTCCTCCACACTGAGCACAGAGGCACTGGGACCATTCTCACATTTGCTTTTAAATGTTGCTGTTGTAGAGCTTTAAAGTCTAACTTTCCTTTTACTGTAACCATATAGACTAACAGTACTATGTACTTACAGTCCTTACTCAGTACCTTTTGCAGCCTGATCTGCTTTCCTAGTACAACTAAACTACCATCAAATTCCACTTAGATGTGAAGAGAAAAAGAGTTGGGGCTTTGGTCCCAGGGTATCATTTCTAATCCAAAGCCAGTGGAAGACAACTAAGTCTTGTGTCCTTCTTGCATATAAGGAATGAAAGTCTGAGTGGGATTTAGATAATCTTGGTGAAATTAAGTTCTATCTCCATGATGGAGATAGAACTGGAACAGAATATTTCATAAAGGAAATATTTATAATCTGTTGAAATAATCTATAATTTTAGTTATGAGACTTAACAGAACTAGAAGTTGACTTGAGTCATTCAAACAAGAGTTGATGAAGATGGCCTTGTCCCAGGACTTCTTCCAGTGAGCATGGCAACCAGCCTTTCAAGACAGGAGAAAAATGGTCACAAATTTAGAAAGAAACAAGCAGGTTTTTTCTAGGTAGCACACCTTCAGTAGAAGCAGAAGGTAAAAGGAATTAGAATTAAGTAGGCTTGTTGGTAACCCATAGAATTCAGTAAAATGGAGGGATGTGATTAAAAAACTGTGTTCATTTTTATGTTACCAAACTGAATTTTCTACAGAGCACCTTTGAATTCATTAGTTTAGAACTGCTTTTAATTTGGAGTTTCCCTTGAGAGCCATTATATTTTTCTGCTGTCAGCCTGATGTTGAGGAAAAAAAGAAAACTGGCAGATGTGGCGTTTTTATCTAGTGTGCTTCATAGTTAAAAACAGCATTAAGTGCTATGCGCAAGCAGAGCATTACTTTTAATAATCCATCACAACTATTAAGTAGTTTAAATAAACTTCATTTCAAAGATTGCTGCCATGTAGAGCTAACGTGTTTTTTCTTGTTCGTTATAATCTTCCTATGTCACAAAAGGATGCATATGTATGTTGGGGTTATTTTATTTATTTAATTTTTTTTTGTAATACACCCACTTGAAAAGTATTGAAAAATCTTTAACAAAGAGAATTAAAGAAAAAAAAATATAGATGTTTGGCAAAAAAAGCATTTCGTATTGTTCTTACAGTATTTTATACTTCTACTGCTGATGTGACTATATATAGTTTACAGCCTCATTTACTTTAATGTGCTACCTGAATAACATAATCATAGCAATAACTATGGTATAGGGTTGTAAGGTGCATGAACCGCTAATGCTTTCTGACGATTTAAATGACTTGTTCATAAAATGTTCTTTTAATAATAGTGGTAAAGCTTTTAGCACTAGATGTCAAAAATGCGAAGAATATTGGCTTTTTCAAGTGTTATTTCTTTGCTAGCTAAAGTGTGTTTTAATAATAAATAGCACCAAAAGCCAAGGTTATGTGGCTCTCGTCTGTATGGGAGGATCCAAGCACAGCTTGACCTCTGTCTGCACAGTTATGTAACATCCCTAATGCATATACTATTTCTTTGCTTAGTTTAATAAGATGTTTCTTTTATCAAGAAAGGTCTGTATGACCTGCAGAAAAAAACAACATCACAATAGGTGCAATATTAGGCTGTTGCTGCTCCATAAAGCCCTTTCTGGCAAAAAGGACTATGCCTTTGTGCTGTAAATTGCGTAGACTTGTCCCACCAAAGACCAGCCTTTCCAAAGGGAAGTGTGCTGCGAAGTCAAAGACCAGGCGACTACAAGGGGAGGGGGAAAGGTGTATGCGTATAAAAAAAGAAAGTGTGGTTTTCTTTTCAGTTAACCATCTTCAGAAATATATTTCTTTCTGTATCTCCAGGTTATTTGGCGTAACAGGAAACTGTGCTGCCTGCAGCAAGCTCATACCTGCTTTTGAAATGGTGATGAGAGCAAAGGACAATGTTTATCACCTGGACTGTTTTGCATGTCAACTTTGTAATCAGAGGTAAGAGAATTTCTTGGGTCTGTTCCATAAGCTAAGTGCTAATTCGGCACTGATGCAGGCACACATTCAAGTGAGGAGGAAACATCTATCAGTAATGGAAACCCAAGATTGAGAGTAAGACCTGAATACTTTTCCTGGGACTGACACAGAACATCTTTCGTGACCTTGGCCAGAAAACTTTTTGTGCCTAAATCCCGCATCAGTAAAAAAGAATGATGTTAATTCCTTTCCTTCAAAAGGCTGTCTGTCAAGTTTAATTAATTAATATTTATAAAGGATATTGAGATCCTTTTATGCAGAAAAGCATAGCAGAACCGTTTGTCATTAATTTCACTTTAATTCCTCATTTTTATCACATGTATTTCTTCTAAAGAACATGTTGTTTCTTCCTGTTGCCAGAGTTGTAATCATTTACGTTTTAAAGATGTTGTTCCTACCATTTTCTCTGTAGCAGCATTGGATTTCTTATGCCATATTTTTATTTCCATATCCTAACAGCAAGTTAGAACAATCCCAAGTACCTAAATTCGACTCTTTATTCAGAAGAATCACCCATATGCTACAGCTGCAGAATGAACACAAAAAATGGTAAAATTGTAACAATTTAGTTTTTCAGAGCTGAATATAGCTGAACTTGAAAGAACTACATTCAGCGTGGTGGCCAAACCCTGCCAGAGATTTAACCGAGAGCTCCATTTCTGCCTCCACAAGAGCTGCTAGCAGTTTTACCAGTGACTTGTATAAGGTCTAGGAAGTGAGAGAACCAATTATGTCTGCTCCTTAATGTGCCTATTATTTTCAGTTATTTTTCAGTTATTACATGATCCTATTTAGATCATGTAATGTTGTATAGCATTCATATTTTTTCATTTTCAAGTGGGAAGAATCACAAGATTTACATTAACAAAAAATTAGGAAGATAATAGTCTTAACATGACAAAGTTAGACACAGCTCTAAATAAGCTTTGCTAACTCACCTTGTCCTACAGTGTATTATTTTGTAACACTGCAGTCATTTAAAAATCAAACATCCCTAAAGGACCATAAAATGTACAGCTGCTAATAAGTGTAGCACAGTACAATTATGCTCTTTAAAAAAAGCCAAATTGACCTTTTTCATCATGTTGCATGGGAAATTAAAATACGAGGCAAGTAATAACCAGTGCTTAAACTATATAATAATGCAAAGTAATTATAGGTTCTAATGCTATTTAAAGTCTTATATCAATTTTGTCTTGCCACAGAACTAAGAGACTGTATTCTGAGCAGGGCAGGCAAAGCCTCCTGTAGTACCCACTGAAGTAAAACATACGCACACTCCCAGGTCTCGTTCCTTAAACCTTTCACATCCCTTTATTTTTTCAAACCACGGTTCTAGTATCATTATTAAAGTGCCTAATATATTTCTGTTGTTCGCTTCATTTATTACATGCCATAATGAGGCTGCATATCTTTAGTGCTGGTTATGCACAATTAGCACTTAGTTATTGTCTTGTCACTTCAACCCATACAAGACAAACTTCTTTAATGTAAGAAGTCAGCTAATCTTCATCAGTCAAGCAAAGCAGACAGTGTTTGTTACCCAGAGTGCAAAAGATTTTCATCATAGTCAGCACTCTTGGATCTGCGGAAGTGGACTTTCTTTTTCTCCTCCCACACCACCAGAAAGCGAAGCTGTTGTGATTATTTTTTATATTCCTCTTTTACCATTACAAGTGTGAACTAATGTACAATTTCACTTTGCAGCTAATATACAGTCACCCTAAGGACACTGATCCCCCTGGAAAAGTGCTGTTAGATGCTTCTGAAACAGAGCTTTCCTGGGATATTTAATAATTCTTACGCTTGTCATTCCTGATCCTCCAATCTAGTCTTTTATTTGATTTTTACTTTGCATGTAGTTTGGGCAAAGGGTTGCTGAAATAGTCTTACAGGAGTCTTATGCTGGGAACAAAAGAATTGATTTACCTGAAATACAATCTAGTTCATCTGGTCAAAATAGGGAACATTTCCAGAAGTTTCAAAGAATTTCGGAGATTCTCAAAAGTGGCGCTAATCCTGATTATATTGCAGTAGCTCTCGTGGACCCTAATAAAACAGTCTGCCAGTAGGGTATCTTTCTTCCTCACAATCTGCAGATAGTGGCACTCTGAAGAATTAATTCTGTTGTTTTTTATAATAAACCCTATTTCATGGATGCTCCAACATAGCTCTTCTGTGGTTCCTATGGCAAAGCATCCCACTGACTACATTCTTTCATTAATAAGTAGCTTTAAATGTTTGGGTTTTCATTACTTGTGTAAAAATAAAACCCAGAAATGCTAGACACCTGACCCACCACCAGTTTTGGAGTTTTCTAATATCTGCTATGCAACCTCTTTCTCTTTTCTTTTAAACCGAATGCTGTTGTCAGTCACCATGCCATTAATAATTTCTCTTGCCCTTCTCAGGATCCTTTTTTTTTCCTCTAGTTAAGCTAATCAAAACCAAACGGCAGATTCTGAGTAAGGGTGAGTTTATAAGATAGCAGTTTACCTTTACTTATTTATTACATTCTTCTGCTTTGTACGCAAAATAATGTTATTGAGGGGGTTTAGGTCTGCTCTTTCACTCCAGCCACTGTTCCTAATGCAGAACGTACTGAAGAGAATAGTTTTATTTACAAACACATCAGCGATACCCAAAAATCACCAGTGGAGGTAGCAAGGCTCATTAGCTAGTGCAAGACCTGTATGTTTAACCTTATTCCCCACATTCACATTCTCTTTCCCCATTAAATTTTAAATGCTTTGGGTCATTCTGTATACCAATAAAAGTAGAACATATCTGGAGTATTGCCACAAAGTACATAATGCTTTCTTTTTGGTTCCATATTTCAGATTTTCAGTTATCATCTACCTATCATTTAGGTTTTTTCCTGGCAGAATATATGCAGTATTCATGAGTAGACTAAATCTTTTCTTTATTTTGCATTACTTTGTCTTTTCCAACACTGAATTTCTTCTGACATTCTGTGCCTGCTTGCTTCTTCCAGTCCCTTCTGCCTTCCAGGCCAGCTAATAAGTATATTAACTCACATCTCACCAAACCTTGAGGGGGGCCGTTCTTCAGGCTTGCTATGGTATGATTCACATATTCCTTACCCTTTAAATAGCTGGTCCTGGCCCAGTGAGAGAGAGGCCTGCCTAGTTTTGCCTAGTGCTTTTTGTGAAAGATTTGGTGATTTTTCTGCTTTTATGTACACCTTTACTGTTCGCTTTATTATTTTTGAGTATTTGCAACTCGCCGTGCAGCTCAAGTCTCAGTGTGGATGGTAGTTAGACCCTGTTGATTTCAGTGATCTTCTGTTCAGGCCATGAACAACCTCTGAACTACCTCATAATGTGCCTGTCCCCTTTTATGGTCCTCCTGAAGGCTGTATTTTCAAAGTGAGATGAAAAATGCATTGTCTCACATATGATATCCTAGGAAGACGGGCTGTAGACGGGACTGTAGACATAAACAGGACTGAAGGAGATCTCCTGAGCCACCAAGCCTGGTCCCCTGATATCAAATAGGCACTGTCTCATTTTCACTTTGTTAAAACTATTCAGCTCTAGGATCCAGTTGTTCCTCCAGCCAGTTTTGACATACTTTCCCCATTTTTTATTGATACTGATATTTAAAGCTGTAGGGATTTTGTGAACATTAAGCTCTGCTCCTAGCCTAAAGGTTTTAGAATCCCCTTATCTTTCATGTTTCTGTCCAGCTTACTCCTAATTTGAAGTTCTTCCATCTCCTAAATACCCACAGAGCTCAGTGACAGTCATCTCAATGGCATGAGTGCTCCTTTTTTTCCTTTGTAAACATATTGAACTTCTCCTCAGAAGCACTTCACCTTACGTTGGCAGTAACCTCAATACAGTTAATTTCTGCATCAAATTTAAAGCGGGGTGGAATGGAAACAGCTGGAAAAATAAGCTTGTAAACAGACGCTGTCTTTCACACTTTGTCAAGTTGCATGTGTGTGACTAGCAAAATGGAGTGGAAAATCTTGCAAGTGGGCTCAGCTGTGTCTTTGCTTGACGCTTTTGACTACAGTGATGATGTCAGTCTGCCTTCGGCTTTCCCACTTTCTGGAGTTTTCATGTCCTTCCTTTCACTCTCTGTTGGCCGCTTTAGCAGCTTGTTCCATACTTCTGAGATATTTTCTTTCTGACGTTTGAAGTCAACACAGGGTATGGCTTAAAAGCCCCATCTGCTATCACGGAGGGGTGTTTAAATCAACTGTTCTTTCTTTCTATCCAAAATAGCCTTTATTTTAATGGGAACTGGACTGAAAATAGTTATACACTCATTCAAATCTCTGTCCTGATGTAGCTGTAAACACTTACCTCCAGTATAAACTGTAAAATGCCCACACAATGCTACCTTTGTCCTCTGTCAGGCAGGAGGGAGGGAATGCAATGCCAGGAACACCCTTATTTCAAATGCCAACACTGGATTTTTGCATTAGTGGTCATTTTAGAAATTCTGAAGACCTGAATACTGCTTATTTTCATTCAATGTCTCTCAATTTAAAATAAAAATTAATACATTTTCAATACCTACTTTAAAAAAATACTAAATTAATAGGATGCCAAGTTGAGGTTAGTCTTACGTTGAAGTAGATTTCTGTATGAATCCTGGTGTAATGGTGAAAATATACAAATCCAGGCACAGCTCCTACTTTCCAGTCTTTGACAATAAATGGACATTTTGGCAGAATCTTAGGATTAGTAAACTATAGGTGTGGACTGATGAACTGTGATGTAAAAGAGAGGCTTTGTTCTCTTAGTGGTGCATTTCGATTAACATTAATTTGAGTCATGCTGGAAACTCAAAGGAGTTTTACAAAAAAAGATGAGGGGAAGAAAAGTAGAGGACAAGTTACATCACTAATTGCACAAAGCAGAGGGGAAAGCTATGGGTGTGGCAAGTCTGAGCTTTCTTTATTCTAGCAGAAATCAATTAAATATTTCCAGATTCTGTTTCTTTCTGCAACAGCAAAGATCTAACATTACCAGAGGTGACACTTCACACTCAGCCATCTTCATTCACAGAAATATTTCTCTTGCTTTCTTAAGAAGTCTTTGGCACCTTGACACACGTGGCACACCCGAAAAGATGACAAACAGCAATGAGATCTCCTTAAATACATGTTCTGAACAGTAATTAGCTATTTCTCAAAATGCAAGTTTTATACTTCTTATGATCAGTCTAGGCACACCTTCTCCTTCCAAATAAGGTGATAACAGAGGTCATTTTGTAATACAAATGGCCTTCCTTTTTCCATTGTAAAATATGACAGGAGTTCTAGGATGTAAGTTAATTATAATGGCCATTCTACTAATGTCACAGTCATGTTAAAAGTACTATTATCAATTTATGGTGGTAAGTCCAATCTGGCAAGTTAATGCAGCCTATTGTATATTTTTACCCGTTCATCTTGCCTGCTAGAAGAGTAGTAGTCTTGCCTCATTTTATACTCCTAACCCAATGGCATCTTAATATGCTTCTAGACTCCATTTGATACACGAGCCCAAATTGTGATTTAAATACTATACCAACTCCGTAAAAAAAGCCAGAAACAAAACCCAAAAACCAACAACAAACAAAACACACATACCACTTGCCAGAGGTCAAAGGCTAGGCTTGAATTTATTTTTCCATGTTAAAGTTGAGCTCGGTTTAAATCCTTGAGTGTTCAAAACCAACCTGAAATAGTTGTAAGATGTAAATCTTTGATTTTGGAAGAGGCTAAATCTGCTTTTGAGAGTCAAATAAGTCAGTTCTGTGGATGGACAGAATTTGTCATAATTCATCTGTCCACTTCCCTTATCTCATTGTACTTGGGAGCTAGCATGCCACGTTTATATGTTTTTCACCTGATGCTTACTTCTTTGTCACCTAATGAGTGTGTAATTCACACATTTAATACCCAGGGGCACGCACAAGGTTCAGCATCAGTCTCTGCCAATGTGCTTTGGTCGCTGAGCTTGCACAATATGAAAATGGTTTCAGAATTTGGACTGTAAGTACTGCAAGTAACAGGTTTTCCCCAGGGCACAGAGGATCAACCCAGTGTGCAAACGCAGCCCCATATGAACCCAGAGGGCGTCTTACCATGCAGACAGACCCCCACCCCACAGGTTATCACACAGCCAAGTGTGTCTAGACAGGCCACTGGCAGCCTCTCTGCAAGACAGCTGTACACTTGGAAGGTAAATGATTTGTGGAACTGTGTATGTTTAAAGCCACTCATGCATAAAGCTGTCAAATGCCATGTAGACATAGGTAGAGCATTTCTAGCTAGACATATTAACATAGCAAAAGCAAAAGGCATTGACACTTTTTATTGGGAAAGGCATCCTGACTCCCTTGTGTAGCTGCTGCAGTTTAATTCAAACCATGGCACTTTGAGGGCTAAGAAACAAAACCCTTCAGCCAGCGCTTTGATGCAAGCAATATCAACTATCAAGTATTACTGTGCAAGCGAATTGCATTACAGCAGCATATTATTCATTTACTAAATATTTTAAACAAATTAGTCTGCTAAGCTCTGTATTATGCTGGGACACAACAGAATATGTAGCTATATAACATTCATAGTTAGTGTTTTCTGCTGGGCGATCAGAGGACCTGACCCACAAGGGGAGATGCCCTGCTGTGTAATATCCCTCTGATGTTGTGGGCACGGTTGGACAGATATCTCACACTCAGTCCCTATCAGTAATCCGTGGACAAACTGTAATGGATGAGGTGTCACAATACACAACTTCCCCTGCTTTCGTCTGTGTTAATCTGTATGTTCATCTAAGAAGGACTTCTTTCTTGTCTTCTTTTTTTTTTTTTTTATTTTTAATGTGACTTCTTTGGGAAAAACACTTTTACATATTAGCACTAGTTAAGACTCCCTTACCTAATTTGGAAAGATGTACCAAAGACTTCTTGTCAGCATTGTTGTGGATGAACAAAAATATTAAAGATGGAAACCAGAGAAACTGCCAAAGAACTTCTTTGCTTCAAGAATTCTGCATTTCAATATACCTACTCAAAATACTTTTGTGTTGTTAGTATCCTAATATACCAGGACTGGGGTGGGAAGGATAGCAGGAATCTGTAAATTCTATAAAAGAGTCTTGACCATAAATAACTTAAAGATTTTGGGATCATTCCATAATCTCTATTTTCAATCATCATCAGCAGCAGGCAGTAATCCTACAGAAAAAAAAAAGTCCACAAATAAACAAACCAATTTTCCTTTAAGAGCAGAGCTAATTCATTTCAATCCACTTTTTTATTACACTATTTTCCCTCTATCTATTTAGCTAACATAAGGATAAATTTCCAAAGCTACCCAGTTGGAAAATAAATGGGTTCACTGTTTGTCTAGCATTCCAATCTTCACAAATGTAAATCAGTCCAACTGCTACTCATTTAAACCTCCACCTTCACAAAACATTAAAGGACTGCTTTCCATACACAATTTAATCTGTGACAGTTCACCAAGAATTCTGCTTGAACATCATTAGAAATTGACTATCTGATAAAGACAGACCACTATCAGAGGTCAGGTGGGTCAACTTGTGTCATTTACGTAGTTTTACCGGGTCAACTACAGCAGGCACCACTATTTGAAGGTTAAATTGTTACAATTAAATACATATACAGCTATTCCCATAGCTACTCTGCTGTTAAATCTACCGTAAACAACACAAGCATTTATATCTGACCCTAATTGTGTCCAAGATGTCACCATTTGGAAATTATACAAAAAAGGACATTATAATCCATTACATATTAAACAATACTTTATGCAGTGAGATCCATAATTAGCTGCTAGAAACTGGTTTCATTTATTCACATCAGTGTTAAGGGGTTCATTTAGGTTACTTTCTTTCATTTTAATTGGAATAATGTGAACAGTGCCTCCCAATATATTTTATAGCTGCAGAGTTCACTATAAACAAAGGCACGTAACCCTGCCAAGGCAGTCACTAGGGAAACTCTTTTCTATGCATTGGCTCTATTCACTTGCTCCCTAAGTATCTTCAAGAAGATCAGCTTTGTTGGGGGGAAGGGTTGAGGAGGGTGTCAGTGAAGAGCCTTCTTATACTCAAGCATACTGCTTGGCTGGGAAATCCTACTGTACTCAAAGTTTGAAGCCAGCAGCCAGACAGAAGCATTAATGTTACATGGTTTTCCTACTCATCAGAGAAAATAAAATGAAATACATCGGTAGCGTTTTCTAGCAATCAGGTCATTCTGATGCACATAGTAGTATAACAAGGTAGGTGTATTGATACCTCAAGAGAGAGAGCAGTTAGCTTAGTCACTAAATTTACAATCAGCTCCTACAGGAAAAAAGAAAACGGTTTCTCTGCCTACCTGCCTGTATGTGTCTAGTTTGTACCACAATATACATAAAGTTGTGTGTATGCTATAAACAGTTCTTAGAACCATTGGTTTAAATCAATTCTAGTAAAATATCCAACTGGAATATACCAAGAAATTCTTACCCTATGCCTGCACAATTGTAACATATCTCAGATGAGCACACGATCACTTTGTTTTCCTTCTGATTTGTGTGAAAGCAGGATATTTACTTTTCACTCAACTCAGTAGCCTGGGATATTAATTCTGTTTTATCTGTGTGCTCCTGACCGGATCCAAGACTCCCACAGTCTTTGGTAGGCTCTGAATGAAGCCATTGGCTGGGGAAGCAAAAGCGCTTGAATGCACCAGATTTTGTTGAAAACACAGGATTAATTCTGATACCAGATTGATTCCTCTGCTGGGCTTTCATGTATGTGAAAGACACACATGTGCCTGTGTGCGCTGTGACAGACAGCAGAGGTGTGAGCCGCGCGGTCACTGCAACGAAACCGTGAACACTTGTGCAGTCCTTATGTGTAAGATCATATCACATCACTCATCCTGAAACTATTTTCTTTTTTTTATTATTATTTTTTTCCCTTTATTATTGTAATTTCAGATTTTGCGTTGGAGACAAGTTTTTCCTGAAGAACAACATGATTCTGTGCCAGACAGACTACGAGGAGGGTTTAATGAAAGAAGGTTATGCACCCCAGGTTCGCTGATCAGATGCCACACATCATTAAGAATACAAAGCACTATGTTCTTTTATCTTTTTTGCTCAACTTGTATATAAGAAATGACACAGGAACCTACTGAATAGCATAGATATAGGGAGACAGAATGGCTGCGTGAAATAAAAGGCGGACTGCATCTGTATGTAGTGAAAATTGCTCCAGTTCAGAGTTGAATGTTAATTAAAAAGGTACTGTACATACAGCTGGATTCTTTTTGCTTGCTCTTGGGGTTTTTGGTTTGTTTGGGGTTTTTTGTTTCTTTTTGTGTCATTTGGCATGAGATGTTTATTTTGGACTATTGTATATAATGTATTGTAATATTTGAAGCACAAATGTAATACAGTTTTATTGTGTTACCATTTGTGTTCCTGTTTGCTTCTTTGTATTGTTGCATTTAGTACAATCAGTGTCTAAACTTACTGTATATTTATGCTTTCTGTATCTACCAGCTATTTTAAATGAGCTGTATCTTTCTAGTAAAAAGCATTAAAGAGCAAATCCCAACCATTATGCTACACTTAGAGCTTAAGAATACTGTTTACATTAAAACTATTTAGAAAACTAGTAACTCTAGCAGCACCTGCTGCTAATGATGCTATGGTTAAGGGTCTATCAGCACTTCTTTTATAAGCCTCTATTTTTCAGGGGTTAAGCATCTGCTGTTTAATTGAATAGATTTTCCTTAAAGAGCACTTTTATTTTACTACAAAATTTTGAAAAACAAATCTGACCGGTTTGGGATATATTATAAAAGGTGCAAAAGTTAATGATTTTGGGTGCTGCTTTTGTGCCCCTTAGGCATTCAAAATGCCTGCATTTGATTATTAATTTAGCTGGAAATTAAGCCCTAATGCAAACCAGTGCCTCTGGGTATCTCATTTTATATATATATTAAAAAATATATATGT